CTATATTCAACCATTAATTTTACCAAACAATTGACCTATATCAATATATCTTACGTTTGTTTACTTAATAGTTTTCTTTTTTAAACTAGGGTTTCAGTTCAGCATGCAAAACATAGCCCAAATGCTGTCTTGCAGTTGATCTTGAAAAAAAATAATTATGAACAGGATTTGGTACGACTATAAATTGATTCCTTTTTGTTATTGTGTAGGAAGTTCCGATTCTCAACCCTGTATACCTCATGTTGGGTGCATCCTTTGGTTCAGCAGCAAAAGGAACGGGATTAAAGGCCCTTGAATTTGCTCTTTCCATGTGTGAATCAGTGGATATGTATGGTTTTACTGTTGATCCTGGCTATAAAGAATGGTAAATGAAGGTTACAGAAGCCTCCAGTGTCTTTTGTTTTTTTATTCTAATGTTTAAACTAATTGTCCAACAACATTAAGGAAATATATACTCCTATGTTGGACTTAAGGAGTCTTTTTTGTCGTCTCAGGACGAGATATTTTTCAGAGTCACGACAGGGTCATACCCCACTGCAGGGAAGAGCTTACTATCAAATGATGGAATGCTTAGGGGTAATTTCCAACTTGATCTTTTGGTTGTGTTGATTTTTCACTATTCTCCTGACTAGTCTTTAATATCGATGCACTTTTTTGTTATTAATTTGTTATGAACATATGAAATTTGAGGTAGTTGCATATGCAAGAACTTAGTTTTAAGAATCCATTATTAGTTTTAAGAATTGAAGTTTGAACTTGGGATGCAGAACAATTGAGAAGATGGGGGGGATGCTTACCAAAGAAAATATGTGAAAAGGGTATGGACTATGGAGTGAGAGAGGTTATATATGCTGCAAATAGTTCTCTGGGTAAAAGAAGCTGCAAAAGACAATAGACTAAAGAACCACCAATCAATTCCGATTCACCCTTCAAAGAGAAAAAGGAGGGAAAGTACGAACATATTTACCCTTGTAACTTCTAAGCAATTCACCGTCATCAACTTTGTAGTCCACTTTGAAATCCCATTTTGTTGAAAGATATATTCCAAGTGCCACCCAAACAAGAAAAGATGACATTTTAAGATTTATATTTAACTGTTTTGTGATTTCTCAAAATCAAGTAGACTTCTCCACAACTTTTAACATTAATGTTGACCTAAGACTTATGGCCCTTACCGAGGACATAGATAGGAGTGTCTGGAGAGCTAGGACAAGGCTGGTGAGATAGGCTTTTGGGCTTGGTGGCTATTTCTGCACTTGTCTATCTATGCTTTCTTTGTTTATTTTTTTCTTCATTAACCTTAGTTTGCTCTTTGCTACTTTTTTGCTCTATGCTTTCCGTGCTCACGTTGCTGCTTGTGTTAGTCAAGCTAGGGGTCTTATGGAAACATCCTCTCTACTTTTGAGTAGGGGTAAGGTCTACGTATTTTTAAATCAGGTTGTTGAAAGCAAAAACCTTTGAAAGAAAGATCCTGCTACTCATTAGCCTGAACTCCTTAACTAGCATCAGATCAGTAAATCATAAAAAGAAGAGTAAATTGTTTTTTGGTGGCACCATTGTTGTGGTGGTGGGGGGAGGGAGGGGGGGTCTATATTTAATATGACTCTGGAGTCTAGCTACATTCAACTTCTTTGAGCGAAGCTCTAGCTTGGAAGATGATTTTATTTTGAATAATATATCGACTAATGGTCTTCAGAAATGTTCCATAACTATTTTGTGATTGCACTGCTTTTTTAACAAAAACCTAATGAGGGATGTTGTGAAGAAGGTTGGGGTGAAAGTGCTCACGTGTTACATCTAGAAACTTATTCATCGGAAAGTATGTGACAGTTTAGTTTCAGACATTTCAATTGGCATTTAAAGTTTACATATACTTTCCAGTTTCCATCGGAAAGTATGTGACAGATGTGCTCACGTATTACATCTAGAAACTTTACATATACTTTCCAGTTTCCACAATCCTAAAAAGTTCAAACTTCACACTTAGATAATTTTAGACAATTATATGATCTTATGATGTGTTCTGTATAAATTTCTGCATCTATCAATGAAATATTTCCTTCCAACTAATAAGTCAAACATTTCCTTAGGTTTCCATTTTCGGTAAGCTAAGCAGGGGACAATTTATCAATGTAGCCTGTTTGTGAGCTACATGTATGTTTCCGATTGTTGACATTTTCTACCTTTGTAAATTAAGCTTATTAAAATACATTCACCAATGCGAGCCGATCCAAATCGTGTAGTGGACTGGTTACCAAACCGCCGCTTGATTACTGCTGCCAGAGTTGCATCAGAGAAATTATTAAGGTAGTTGATACTGCTTCCTTTCTTCTATCTGTCAATACTTATCAGCAATCTTGTTCAAGTCTTACACTATGTTTGGTTCAAGGAATTTGGAAGGAAAAGAAAAGAAAATACTTTTCTCTCATTTCCTCACCAAAATGGGAGAAATTTAGTTTTCCCTCTTCTTAGTACATTTTTCATTCTCATTTTCTTTTTCTTCCACTTTTCTCTTCCTCTCTAACCAAACAAAGAAAAAAGGTATTCATCCTATTTTCTTTTCCTTTCCCTACCAAAATCCACGAACCAAACACAGTTTTAGTGTTTGGTGTAAATCATGATTGAATACAGCCATAACTCCGAATATCTAAATTCATAACCAATTTAATAATTACTCTGACAAAAAAACAAGTTTCATTTGATCAAAGCATCATTGGTAGGGTAGAAGGGTAAAATTATCATTGTCCCTAAATTAAATGTATCACATTTTGTAGGGTTTTGGTAAAATTAAATATATCATTCTCACTAAATTATTGTTCAGTTTGACTGGATGCAAGACTTAAGAAAACAACATATGTGTGGTTGAGATTTATTTAGAATGGAGAGAAATTATATGAATGAATTATTGCTTTCCTCTTAACACACTGTTTGATTCAAAGAATTCGGAAAGGACAAGAAAATAAGTATAAAAAAGAAGCAATTTTGGTTTTTGGTTAGAGAGGAAAATAAACAAAAATTGGGAGAAAAAGAGAAGGTTAAGAAAATGTAAAATGGAAAAGTTATTTTAACTTCCATTTTTGTGAAGAAAATGAGGGAAAACGGCAAATTTCTCACCCTCTTTTTTTGAGAGGAACATGGAGAAATTAGGATTTTGTTTTTTTTTCCTTTAACATTTTCTTTTCCTAACCGTTTTCCCAAACCAAACATAATGTAAAGGAAATGAGTGATAATTTAGGGACTGGAGAAAAAAAAGAGAAGGAATATAATTTAGGGACACCAGCACTATCTAAGTTTAAAAAAATCTCACAAAATATTGGAAGATTGTACGACATTGCTTCGCCCGACGGAGCATAATTAATATTATTGGGACAAATGTTTTTTTATCACCCGACTTTCTTTTTGGACATAAGGAGTAATCTGATTTTTTTTTGTACACAATTAGGAGGGTTGGTGCTGGATCAATGGATCCATTGGCTAAATGCTCGATCATCACAAAGCAAGCGAAGGGAAAGGTTAGAGAAATGTCAAGGCTGAGGCAATCCGCTATAGACCACCAGAAGTATGTAAAAGGAACAGTCTTCTACCCCTTGGAGCATAATCGCGGGCACAGGCAGCTCTGTGCAGTCCGGTCAAGGTGACCGGTCCTGTTTTGAATCTGATTCCGAGGACACGTTCCGGTTTCTGATTGCCATTTAAAGTGGTCTGGTGAATGGGAAGCTCAGAAGTTCTTGTCACATATGGTATGTCTGAATATTTATACACTCACCATTTCTTGCATTTCCTCTGCAGAAGGTGTGTGGGATTTTACATAACATTTAATCAAATATGAGAGTCCAAACAGTTTTGCTTTAATTTGAGCGTTTTCCGTGTTTACGGCTCTAAGATCAATTGTTAAGGAGGGATTTTTTTATTGTTTTCTAAAGAAGAGAGATCAATAGGATCTAAGATAGTTACCTGAAATGAGATATATGAAGCTCTAATTTGATCATTAGGGAGTGGCATATGTTCATGTGAAAATACCAATTGTAATACTTTTCTGCTGTTGATTATCTTTTGGTGTATTTGTAGTGTTTTCTATTTGTGGTTTGCATTTGCTCACTTTTTATTTGTGGGAATATTTGGACCTCATTTTAACAAGTTTGCCCCTTGCGAATTCCTACCAAATCTTCTCAGTCTCAAATTAATCTTCTTTATTTTCATTTTGGACAGCCTTAAATAATTTATTTCTTTCGTTTGTTTGGAGATTTTTTGTGGTGTTTTTTTTATCACTTTCAACCACACAATTTCATATTTCTTACATACATACGAAGTCTAACAAGTGATATTAAATTGGTACTGAGGGAGTACTGTGCAATTATTGGTTTGCAAGTACTCTATATTATATAAAATGCAATGTTTTCATTATCACTTCTTAATTTTGTCATTTATGTGACCCCAAGGTTCAAGTGACATTGGAGGGCAATGTCATGGGATGGCTGAGGGTGCTCCAGTGCCCCGTTTGTAAAATTGACGGTTCTTACCCCTCCTAAACCCCCCGGTAAATCCCCCACCCGGCCCCGACCCGAACACACCCTCCACCCCCTTCAATTACACCACACAAGTTGATTTTGACTTTAGAGTCAAAATTTGACTCCAAAGTCAAAATCAACTTGTGTGGTGTAATTGAAGGGGGTGGGGGCCGGGGGGTGTGTTCGGGTCGGGGCCAGGTGGGGGGATTTACCGGGGGGGTTAGGAGGGGTAGGAACCGTCAATTTTGCGAACAGGGCACCGGAGTGCTCCCGGATCATCCCATGACATTGCCCTCCAATGTCACTTGAACGTTTTCATTAAGATTGAAAAAGGCAATTTGGGAAAGATTTTCAGTAAATTTGTTAAACTCACAAAAAAAAACTGCAAATTTCTTCTTCAATTCAAGGTGCCCTACAAAAAGGATTAAATGTAGTGGAGAGATAATTCCTCCCATAGGAGTAAACGATTGCCAATTGACGTAAACGGGACTAACAGAATATCTTCTCCTACCTTGGGTGGTGCATAAGGCATTTGTCCTCCGACCAGTATCGCACGAGCAACAGCATTCTGAATAGGAATGAACCTCACGGCCTTGCAAAGGTGCACAACCCTTTCTTCTCTGAATATTGCCTATTTATTGCCTGGAAGATTAATAAGACGAATTGCCTCACAGAGCGCAGAGATACCCAACTTTGGACATCCATTCAAATATGCAGCAGAGAAACCGGCAGATGAAGAGCCAGTAATCAAATTCTCATATTCAGAAAACATATAACACCAAGCCCTAACACAAAAGCCAACCATATAGACGTCCTTTTTTTTTTTAATAAGAACTGAAACAGAACGAGTCCTAAAAACCAAGCGGATGACCATAAAAGGTGATCCCTGGCTATACGGCGCTTTAGGGATTTTAGATACATCGTTCCATTTCTATTGGCTAGGTCTTTGATCCATTGAATAAGCTGACAAAATCTACTAGGAATAGCCAAAGACATTGTGGTAATGTGGCAGTGTACATGTACAAATAGAATGGCACTATACAGAAAACCAGACATATCTATTGTAAAACCAATATTTCTACAATGTTGGTTTTACAATAGATATAATGACTGGCGTGACCTCTCCGAAGCTTGGGTGAAGTACTGCGTTTTAGGAACAACAGAGCATTTGAGTACTCCCGGCAATGTCTTCCACACTGAGAAACACCTGGGTTTATTATTATGTGAAGTTAACCCTGAGTAGTTCAAGTTGGAAGTTGACTTATAAGCAAGAGGCGAGGCAGCTCATGACCTGCGTGAAAGAGAGAAAAATCAAAAGAAAAAGTTGCGTTTTGGATTCATGACAAGAAGAAGTCTGTGATCAAACCCTATCTCGGTTTGATGAAAAGCTGGCAAAAAAAAAAAAACAATGACAGCTTTTGTGGAGCTTTTTAATTTGTCATATTTCTCTGGATGACTCGTTATCCTTTTTAAATATTTGAAGCACTATGCAATTGACCTTGGATTGGTCTTTAATATGTATGTATTTTTGAGTATAAATCATCCTAAATGGGACTAAAACATAGAGAAAAGTACCAAAATAGGACTTTCATGCTTTTTTTTCCCGGAATAGGACTTTGCACTGTGGTAATGTGACTTTGCATTGTGGCAGTGTACATGTACAAATTACTATACTTTCTTGGTAATGTATATGACCATGTTTGGTAATGTAAGTCCTATTTCGAGATTAAAAACATGGAAGTCCTATTTTGGTGTATTTTCAATGTTTTAGTCCTACTTTGGTCTTTCTCCCTATTTTGAGACAGTTTCGTTTGCTTGTTATTATTGGGAGATGGAAAACTAGTATGTTTGCAACAATTCCAGCTAATGAGAAATGTTCTGGAACAAGAATGAAGTTTTATTGTAGCTTTGAAAATATTTTTTAAATATAAATTTACATCAAAAGGCAAAACATACTACTCATGTTCTGCCTTGCCTCTCTAGTATGACAGTCTTTTCCTTGCCATTAGTCCAAAACGCAACATGTGCTTTGACTTCTTTCTCCCTTACATGCTACTCATGTGCTGCCTTACCTCTAGTATTTGGGTCCACTTCCACCTTGAACTGTTCAGGATTCACTTCACACAACAAACCCAAGGTGTTTCTCAGTGAGAAGAGATTCTTAATATGGCAGTTTTTAAGTGTCGACGACAACGCAGAGGTATTGAAATGTTCCGTTGTTCTTAAAACACACAACTTCACCCATGCTTCTGAGAGTGCACGCCAATTATGAATGAAGGCACTCACATTGGGAACGTCATATTAGTATCCATACCAGCAGTGTAATTTGTACTTTCTCAGTTAATTACGTGACACAACACATCTTGATCAGGCAATGTCGTCTCACGAGCCGAAGAAAACATCATATTTTCTTCATCCATGGGTGGTGCATAAGGCATTTCACCTCCTACCTGTATCGCATGAACAATGGCACTCTGAATCGGAATGAACCTCGCGGCCTCGCACAGGTGTACAAACAAACACTCCCATCTCTTTTTTATATATGACCAATAGCGTTACAAAGCGCAGACGTACCCAATACCGGACATCGATTCAGATACGCAACACCGAAACCAGCAGATGAAGAGCCAATAATCTCAGACTCATAACCAGAAAACATGTACCAACGATCCCCAACACAGTAACCAATCATAGAGACGTCCTTTTGAATAAGAACAGAAACAGAAAGGTCCCTATAAACTAAGCGGATGACCATAAAAGGACATCCCTAGCTATATGATGTTTCAGGAACTCCTTTATACTTCATTGTATTGTTATTGGGAAGGTCTCTCATCCATTGAATTTGCTGGCAATAATTACTAGCTAGAGGCATACAAGCAGAGTCAATGATGAATTTTGTCTTGTGATTCTCTTGAATGTTACTAAATTAAACTCAATAGGCATGATGAATTATTATTAATACAACAAAATTACTTCACTCCATGTAAAAAAACAGAAAAGGGCAGAGATAAGATTAAATTTAAACAAAAAGAGATTACAATTACACATTTAAAAAGAGATATAAGATCAAGTGTAGCTAAGATTACAATTACACATTTAAAATACAATCAGCTGTTAATGGATTCTGTGATTGAATGCCACTAGACAGAATTTCTCACTATGAAAAAATCATTCTATCTACTGTAAAAGCAGAATTACCACAATTTTTTTAATATAAAAAAGGTGGATTAAAAAACGAAAAGTCCTAGAGCATTTTGATAAAATTTAGGATAGAGTATGGATCACTGGATTGGGCAATAACACACTTGGGTTAAACCACATTAAAAGATTGAATCCAATCGATTAGTTAGTTCAACTCAAGAGCTTATATACCGATTATTTTCCTCACACTTTTCCGATGTGGGATACTCTTAACACTCCCCCTCAAGTGGACAACCGGGCCATTTTGAATCTAACCGGTTGACCACTTGCAAATGAACTACCATTCCCTTGACTTTTTTTTTGAGCGCCAACACCGAAAAGACCACGAGCCGCTGGATATGGACTTCCAGACGAGCAATCGTGTTAAACAGCCACAGGCCGTTGGGTACATACTCCACACGGACAACTGGGCTAAAGACAAACGAGCCGCTAGGAATGAACGTCTAGACGGACACCTTGACAAACGAGGTGGGCTAAAACTGGCTCTGATACCATGAAAAGCTCTAATATGGAAAAATATATTTTCTCTCTTTTGTATTCCATAGCATGTTACAGTATATATATATATATATATATATATATATATATATATATATATATATATATATATATATATATATATATATATATATATATATATATATATATATATATATATATATATATATATATATGACTAGCTAATACAAGGAAACCCAATAACTATACAACTCTACCATGCACTAATTATCTACAAACTAGGAAACAAATATTAAGAGGAGTTTGACCAAAACAAATCCCTTTAAATGTGCCGCCATCCATGCATGATATTTCTCCAAGTCACGCAGTAGCACAAATCAATTTCTCCACAATGGATGCTTGCCATATATTTAATAATGTGCAACGTATATTTTCATTAACACCCCCCCTCAAGTTGGAGCGTGTAACAAACAAACGCCCAACTTGGGAAGTAGAGCATCGAACCGTCCTTTGCCCAGAGCTTTCGTAAGGATATCCACACATTGGTTATGAGTGGAAACATGAGATGTACGAATGGAACCACGTAATAATTCATCACGAACAAAGTGACAATCAATCTCGATATGCTTAGTGCGCTCATGAAACACAGGATTGGCAGCGATGTGAAGCGCTGCTGTACTATCACAGAAAATCTGCATAGGTGCTGGATGAGGAACATCAAGAAAACGCAATAACCCACGAAGCCATTTAAGCTCACAGGTTAAGACGGCTAGAGAACGATACTCAGCTTCGGCAGAAGAACGAGCCACGGTAGGTTGTTTCTTCGTTTTCCAAGAGACAGAAGAGACGCCAAGTTGAACAAACCAACCAGTCAAAGAACGACGAGTCAAGGGGCAAGCAGCCCAATCAGAATCACACCATCCAGTCAAGAAAAGAGCGCTATCAGAACGTAAAAGAATTCCATGCCCGGGTGTGCCTTTAAGATAACGAACCACGCCCAGAGCAGCATTCCAGTGATCAATTTTTGGCTCCTGAAGGAATTGAGCCAAGGTATGGACTGCATAGGAAAGATCAGGACGAGTAACAGACAAATAGACAAGGCGTCCTACCAGACGACGATACGCCCCTGGGTCGTCAAAAAATGGTCCAGTAGCCAATGCCAATTTATGATTAGGCTCCAACGGAGCGCCAAGTGCACGACATCCAAGTAATCCTGTCTCAGAAATAATATCAAGAGCATATTTTCGTTGACATAAAAATATACCTGTAGAATTCCGGGCGACTTCAACGCCCAAAAAATATTTGAGAGCACCCAAATCTTTCATATGAAAACAATCAGAAAGATATTTCTTGAAACGGGTAATTTCAAGAGAGTTATTCCCTGCTATCACCAAATCGTCAACATAAACAAGAATATGGACCACAGAGCCACCTTTGTGAAAAGGGAATAAGGAGTAATCAGAATGAGACTGAACAAAACCATAGCGACGCAATGCACCAGACAATTTTGCGAACCAACACCGCGGGGCTTGCTTTAAGCCATAGAGAGATTTTCGTAATTTGCACACTAACTCGGGTGTCTGAGAACGATAACCTGGAGGTGGTCGCATATAGATTTCGTCACTCAAATCACCATGAAGGAAAGCATTGTGAACGTCCATTTGATGAAGCTCCCAATTGCGTGTAGCGGCAACAGCAAGAAGAATCCGAACAGTAGTGAGTTTAACAACAGGAGCAAAAGTTTCTTGATAGTCAATACCTTCAACTTGATGATTTCCCAAAATAACCAAGCGAGCTTTATATCTCTCGATCGAGCCATCAGACTTGCGCTTGATACGGTATACCCACTTGCAACCCAAGGCCTTTTTGTGAGGTGGCAAAGGAACAAGTTGCCAAGTGTCATTCTTCTCCAGTGCATCGATCTTGGCAGTCATTGCTTGTCGCCAATGCGGCGACTTCACGGCCTCCTTATAAAGTTGGGGCTCATGTCCAGAATCCACAGCCGCCAAATAAGCCCGGTGACCTGCTGAAAACTTAGCATATCCAATGTAATGTGTCAAAGGATACTTACAATTTGGAATGGCAGGAGAAACACCATGGGTGATAGCATAGGTCTGGTAATCACTTAAGCGCACATTGGGAGTCCGCTGTCGCTGGCCACGACCCAAAACAGGAGCTGATTCGGTGCTGGAAACAGCCTGCTGGATTTCGGCAGTGGTGGACGGCAGTTCCGGCTGGGCAGCAGAGAGCATGGGCTGGGCGTCGGCAGTGGATGACGAGTCTTCTGGATGTGCAGAAACAGTAGGCAGGGAGGACGAGGACTGTAGAATGGGCGTCCTTTGTGCGGTTGGAGCAAGGCCCCCTGGCTCGAATCCGTACGTCATCTTCATCATCTAAATAACCAAGTTGCAAGCTGTCCAATGAAGCATCTGTAGTGGAAGAAATTCCTTCCTGAAATGGAAAGACATTTTCGTGAAAAATTACATCACGAGAAGTAATAAATTTCCCGGTATCCCGGCAGTAGACACGCCACCCTTCCTTCCCGTAGGGGTAGCCCAAAAATACGCCCCGCACACTACGAGTTTCAAATTTGTCTCCGTGACGATCTTGATTATGAACATAGCATAAACAACCAAAGGTGCGAATGGAGCTCAACGACGGTGGGCAACCAAACATGAGTTCGTACGGGGTTTTTCCTTTCAACACGATGGAGGGAGTCCGATTGATTAGATATGCCGCAGCAAGTATGCACTCCCCCCAAAATTCGATTGGTAGAAAAGCTTGAAAACGTAGGGCGCGCGCAACATTTAAAATATGTCGATGCTTGCGCTCAACCCTACCATTTTGTTGTGGCGTCCCACGACACGATGTCTCATGTAAGATACCCTACTCATGAAAGAAGGAATTGAGGCATTCAAATTCAGTTCCATTATCACTTCGGACAATCTTTAACTTTTTATTAAATTGTCGGTCAATTAAAGCATAAAATTGACGAAAAATGGATGGCACTTCGGATTTTGCGCGCAATAAATAGACCCAAGTACCACAAGAAAAATCATCCACTATAGTCAAAAATGAAGTAAAACCATCCAAACTTGGTGTCCTGTACGGACCCCATACATCAATGTGAATCACTTGAAATAATTCTGTGGTTTTATTGGTACTGGAAGGAAAAGAAGTACGACACTGCTTTGCACGCAGACAAATAACACAGGGCCCATTATTCAAAACACTTGATGCACTATCACTAGCAACTGATAAGAAAGATAACACTTTTGGTGACGGATGTCCAAGTTGTCGATGCCACAGATCAAATTGACATTCCTTCACGCTTGACAACGCACAACCAACAGAGGTGTGTTGAAAATAGTACAAGCCATCAGATTGTCTACCCGCACCAATCACCCGCATCGTGGTACGGTCCTGTAATAAACATAGTGGGCCGTCGAATTTTACGAGACAATTAGTCTCCTTGATCAAATGAGACACGGAGAGTAAATCACAGTTCAAATCAGGAACGAAGAAAACATTGTGCAGAACAATCGAATCATTAAGTCGAACACGACCCGCGGTTGTAGCCGTTACCGTCTTTCCATCCGGCAAACGAATCCAACAACCCGGTATAGAATGTACATCAATCAAACATTGTAAATCTCCCGTCATATGATTCGTGGCACCCGTATCCATAATCCACCGTTTAGTAATAGGAATACCAGACAATTTTTCAGACGGAGGATCCTTGACAGAGGCTAAAAGAGCCCTAAACGTCTCCCACTGCTCAGCCGAGAGAGAAGGAACCACCGCTGCACCAGCGGAGGACTCACTAGCGCTGCTGCTTCCGGACAGCCCTATTGCCGCGGCATGTGCAGCGTGCGGCTGCTATCCTCCAGCGCCCCTGCTAACAGAGATGCCACGCCCACGCCCACGACCCCGGCCGCTGCTGTTATGACGACCCCAACCCTCGGGATAGCCATGAAGATCATAGGGCGAGATCGTACGACGTTGAGGAGCACCATTACCGCCGGTGTCGCCGTCGGATTTCTTCTCTCATGAATTTGTCATCTACGTCTACGCCCAAGAAGATTTACGAAAAAAAATAAGGCCCGTAGGCTCCGATACCATGAAAAGATTTAGGATAGAGTATGGATCACTGGATTGGGCAATAACACACTTGGGTTAAACCACATTAAAAGATTGAATCCAATCGATTAGTTAGTTCAACTCAAGAGCTTATATACCGATTATTTTCCTCACACTTTTCCGATGTGGGATACTCTTAACACATTTATTTAAAACTTTAATACAAAGAAAGGACGTTATGTTTAATGAACTTATACAGGCCATTACGCGGGTCAAGAGATACGAAGTTCATTTCAAATGAGTGTAACATAGTGGAATTTCACATCGAATCTTCAAAAACACTCAAAATTTAACGCATTAACTTAAAATATATGATTTTTCGAACAAAGTAGGTAAAAACTTAAATTTTTTCGAGGCAGAGAGACAGGGAGAGAGAGAGAGAGAGAGAGAGTTGGGCGAAGAAATGGGAGAATGAGAACGAGAGAAAGAGAGCTAGAGATGAGAGAACGGCGAGAGGGTGAGAGAAAGAACTGGGTATCAGAAGAGAGAAATGTTATTTGAAAAACTTTAGGATTTAAATTAAAAAAAATTCTTGTTATGTGATATTGCATTCAGAATTATAAAAAGTTTAATTCTTGTTATGTGATATTGCATGTGACTCTGTCACCGACTTTGTTAGTTTTCAGGCTTCCGACCTTCACTCTGACCTTAGTATCCAACCTCATCGTCACCGGAATGCTCTTCTTCGACTTCAACTTTTTTATATCTCCGGCGTCGAGCCTATGTCTGGATCTGGCGATGGTGGATTTCTGAACTATAGTATTTTTTGTGCAAACTGGAGAGAGGCGATGGACGAGAGGATCCGTAAGAGGCTATGGACGAGAGAGAGTGAATGTCGACACTGAATATTAATTGGGCTAGGGAATTCAAATGACATGGTTTTGGGTATGAATTAGTAATTGGGTTGGTTATTAATGAGAGGAATTTGATCCAAATTTAAATCTAAATTTTTTTAGGTTGCCAAACAAGGTATTTGTATCAAATCTGAATTTCAAATTCAAATCCATATTTCCAAACAGGCCATCATAGAATTTCAATTTCAATTCAATCCTAATGCCAACAATTCTGTATATCAAACAAACCCGAAAAAAATTTTGATATCTAAAATTAAAGATATCGAAATCTATACGAGAAAATTGCTCCTGGGTACTCTATATTTTGAGAAACTAACTGCCGGGTACCTCATATTTTTAAAATATACTCCGAGGTACCCTCTATTTTTATAAACTAACTATCGGGTACCTCGCATTTTTAAAATATACTCCGGGGTACCTCCAAATATACATTAACTTACCCGTGAAGGACATCCCGTCTCACTCTTCGTCAAAGCCAGTTACACCATTAATTTTAAGAATTAGAGGTTTGGAATTCCAAAAATAACCTTAGTTTTTATACTTTAATGATACAATCTATCGAGTTTAATCGAAGCTTTCAAATGAAACAGAATGTCCCTTATGGGTAAGTTAATGTATATTTGGAGGTACCCCAGAGTATATTTTAAAAATGTGAGGTACCGGATAGTTAGTTTCTAAAAATAGAGGGCACCTCAGAATATATTTTTAAAATATGAGGTACCCGGCAGTTAATTTATCAAAATATGGGGTACTCAGGAGCAATTTTCTGAATCTATACCTTGTAAACTCACTGAACATAACCAAATTTCACTCGAGTATTTAAACTGGAACGGGCCGAGATCGGATTGGGTTAAACTGCGGGCCCGGCCCACTAGCGACGACGTTCCCGGAATATTTAAACCCTAGTCAAATTCCAATCCGGTGTCCGTACGCCTTTGACCGGTTCTGTATCTCCCTCGTAGAACTGCAATGACGATGCCGATCATCAATGCGCCGGCAGTGTTCGCAGCGTCCGCATTGGCGGCGCTCTTTGTTTTCTCCGCCGTGTCGGCGGCTCACTCAGAAGCTCCGTTCATCCTGGCGCACAAGAAAGTCTCTCTCACGAAGCTCAGTTCTGGCACCGAACGAGTCTCCGTGACCATCGACGTCTATAACCATGGATCTGAGTGAGGACCTGACATTTCTCGTGCCTAAACGCTCATTTACGTTTACAGTTTTCCTGTTCGAATCGATATCCGATGTACATTTTCATGTTCAATCCAATGCCCTTACCATTCAGGATTTTTTGTGTGTGTGAATGAAAATCGGAAATGGCTGTGTGGAAAGTTGTAAAATTGCCTTGAATTTTGCACAAGTTAAATTATGTCATTTTCTTCTCATGTTTAGCAGAGCATATAGAATTAATCTTGACGCTGATGATTGATGATTAAGCCAAAAAATTTTGATCTGCCATCAACAGAGTGTACATGTTTTAATTAAGTATGCCCGATCAAGACAGTTTATGAGGCGCTTGGTTCTCACATTAGATTGTAATACTTTTTATCTGATCATTCAAATGGATTAGCCTGCTGCATGTGCTTTTTATCTGTTATTATTTAATATCAATTTCTGCCCATGATCATCTCAGATTAAGATTTTACTGTGTTTAAAGAAATTCTCTGTCCCGGGTGAAGGCAGACATGACACTGATTTTAAACCGTTCTGCATACTAAGAAATTAACTGGTTGTACATTCAAGCTTATGGGAAATACTAATCATTAGTCGTCGTTGCATATTAATGAGGTGTTATTCGTTCTATTAATTCGTGCAGAACTGCTTATGATGTAACTCTCACTGACAATAGTTGGGATCCAGAACTATTTTATTCTGTCTCTGGCAATGCATCTATGTCATGGAAAAAGCTTGAAGTGTAAGAGTGACCTTATCACTAGCAACCTACTTTCAGTTAGGCTCTATAATTGCTCATTTTGCTGTTTGCTTATATTTGTTGTTTCTGAACAATGATGTATTTTTTGCCATTTACAACTTCCAGTGCTTCTGTTGTTTCCCACTCTTTTGAGTTGGAATGTGGAGTAAAAGCGACTTATTACAGTTCACCTGCTCTCATCACTTATCGTGTTGCAACCAAGTCTAAGCTGCAGGTTTGCCTACATTAATGTCGCATTATTTTTTATCGAATTTGTCAGCCATGGGATTTGATTTCGCGGAATCGATCTATTCCACTGCTTCACTGTTTTGCAATCATGTGGAGTTTAATTTCATTGAATGACTTATTGCTCTTGCATTGGGATGTTGATTACACACACTCCTTGATATTAGACGTTTTCCCTGGCCATATTATTAATACAACTCCACATTCTACGTCAGTCGAATGTGCAGCCATACAAGGTGGGACATGATTACTAATAAAGATATATGAGACAAGGTCGGAGTGGCCTCCGTGATGCACTAGACGACTGAAGTGAGGCTGTGATGATTCCAACATGTGGAGAGGAGAGGTGTGAATATGCCCGATAGGAGATTTGAGAATTTTGTGGACCTAAGGTTTGGGCCTTGGGGAGGTAATTAGACAAGACCGGGCTAGACTCGGGCTCATTGAGGAGGATATGACCTAATATATGACCTTAGATAGAAAGTTGTGGTGGTGAAGGATTAGGATAGAATGGTAGACTGGTAGTTGGTGCTATAGTCTGGGGGGTTTTATCTTTTGCATAGATAATTATTTGTATGTGTTTAATTGTGATGCTTGATTTTTAGTATATGTCATTATGCTGCTTCCCTGTATTCTTGTCAAATAACTTTCATTTTACTCTTTTGTTCTATTTTGAGCCAAGTGTCTATCAAATATAATGTCTCTATCCCTCGGGGTAGATGTAAGGTCTGTGACTCTGTGTACAGCCTACCCTCCCCAGACTGGACTAAAAGCGTTGGATTGAATTGAAAGTTGAATGCGGAGTATTATAGTTTTAATTGCTATTTGAACTGGATTGAACCCTTTAAGGTCGAATCGAACAGGGCCATTTCACATTATTGATCATAAACAGATGTGTCTTTGTTGGTGTTGTGTGATACTGTTATGACATTTTAATCATGTCACAATCTATATCTTTCTTATTTCTTTCTCAAGCCATCTTGTGTACATTCCCTTTCTTTTCAATCTGTGACCCCTAGAGTCTGAGTCTGTAGAGGTTATCAATGCAACCCATGAATCTCTTATGTTCTGAAATACATATTTATTCTTGCGTGTAGGAGGCTTACTCCACTCCAATCTTGCCATTGGAAATCTTGTCTGAGAAAGCAGTTCAAGACAAACTGGGATTGGTAAATTCTTTTCCCTTTATCTTGCAAATGAAAGATCATAGTGTCACACTTTGAATTTCTTCGACATTATCTTCTCGGTCTTACCCTTCACATTTTTTGTTCTTGTCTTGATTGCAATGGGTGGGGATGTTGCCGCCTTCAGGCTAAGGTAATGTCTGTTTATTACTCCTTCCGTCCAAAAATTATCTTCCCGTTTACTATTCACAGGGTCAAACTTTTTTCATTTTTGTTGGCTTATTTTCATTGCCCATTTGACAAAATAATATACTTATGTCACCTCTAGTTTTGTAGATCTTTTGATGTAGTTTTAAAATATGTAATTTTTATTTTTTAATTTCACACTATTTTTCATAAAAAATAATTTGAAAATAATTTCAGCCAAACATCGTGTTATCGTAACACACAACGGGAAGATAATTTTTAAAGAAAACGTTTTCTTCGTTTTGATCCGTAAAATCTGTTTTTTTCTGGTTTCGATTTGCAGAGTTTAATGGCAAAATATGGATCCCATATTTCTGTTGTGCTTATTGTGGCATTCTTTGCTAATGCTGTTGCATCCCCATCAAAATCAAGTGCTGGAGGTGGAAAGAAGAAGCACTGAAAATATGAGGGTTTTTCTGAAAATTCTTCACAGGCCTTGTGCTTATAGAAAATGATAATACATTCATAGTGTTTACCCAAAAAAACAAACACAAAATGTCTTTGAGCATTTTCTTGGTCCAATTTATTTGACCTCTTTGGTAAGACCAACTCAAGCTGTCTCTGTATCAATGTTTTTCTCTTTTTTATTTTCCTTTTAAGAAAAGAAGTTATAGTGCATATACTCTCTCTGTCCGTCATAGAATTTCCCAAATTGACTTTTTGTTGTGAAATATTTTTTAAAAAATTTGGTGGAATATATTAAATGAGGTGGGTGAAGTGTAATAAATTAAGTGGTGCTAATTGTATATTTTAAATGTTAAATAAGGTAATGGGAAGATATTTTCTAAACAAACATAAAAGGTACTCCGTATTTGGGAAGATTTATGACAGACGAATGAAGTATATAGTTTTTGTTTTTCATAAAATTTTAACCATACAACTTACATTTAAATTTGATTTTTTGCCGAGTCAAACTTTGCCAAGTTCATGATGTTGCATGAGTATAATTTTTCTAATTTCTATGTCTAGCCGGAAGTACATAATTTGTACTCTCTTTAACCCAAAATTTAACCTCTTTATTTATTTTAATTTTTCATTTAATAAAATATTACTAGTACCCTAAAATTGATGAAGATATAAATAGTAAACAAATATTTTAATTCCTAATGAAAGGTGGACTTTCACAAGCACATGGAACATAAGTCCTAATATCAAAAGACATGGCTGTATAATTAGTAGTTTAAACTTAAAAAACATGATTTGGATTTGATGTTTTTCAATATCACAACCCCATTTGAAAGATATCAATATAAATGCTTTTAAATCTTCCTCGACCATCAACCACCCCTACTTGCCACTAACAATTATCGTTTCAAATTTCTCAAACATTTATTTTAAATTTCAAAATCCATATTATATCATTTTTAATTTTAAAACCCATATCATATTATTAATCCTCCAAAACTCACCAAATTAGCCTGATAGAATAGAAGCTGTGGAGGGGGGGGGGGGGGCAGTTTCAAGCCTTTCAAAGGACACTCTCCAATGTAAACAATAATCAACTAGGGGCAAATTTGCCCGAATCTTTATTAATTTTTTTTTAAAAAGAAATGTTCTGAGACTGGATTTCAGGGGATCAGCCAGCCTGTTGTCATGGGCAGGAAATCTGCATATCCATGGTGAAGTTTCAAGGAAACAGCCAAACCCTTCGACGACACCGAAGTGGACAAAAGAATATATATCCAGACTACAAAATGGCATAAAGATTTTTTTTTAAACAAAAAACTGCATTGGAATTTCTACGCAGCGGCAGCCTTGGGAACTGATCGATAGCACACCCTCTTCGCCGCACGAACTATGTCCTCAACCTGTCAATGAATGAGAAAAATAGAGAGCAGAAAGAATTATGAATCTGAAAACAATGTCGCAAACTGTTCTGTTCTTGGTTTTCTTAACATTTAGTGATATCAGGGAGAGAGGAATAACAATCTGCCTTGTTTGGGAACAAGGTTTTCAATTAGCATTAAGGCCCCATTTGGTACACGGAATTCAAATTGTGGAATTGGAATTGAGGACTTGAATTTCAATTCTGGAGATTGGTAGCACAAAAATCATGTGGATTTGGAATTGATAGTGCAAAAAATGAATTGGAATTGGTGAATTCAAATCTATGGATTTGAATCCTATGGAATTTTAATTCCAATTCAATTCTAATTCCATCAATTCTATATACCAAACGGACCCTAAGTGTTTTTGAAATGTTTTCCAATTGCATATTAACGTTGAAAACGCTAAAATTAAACACTGTTGTGAGATTGCATTTTCAAAACACAGAAGCTGTGGCCAAATGGGCACTGTGCGTATATATGTTTCCTGACACATAGCATTACACATAAGGATAATGCAGGGAACCCATCACCCATGCCCCCATGGATGACATTACAAATGAATTCATACCTACACAGACAATAATCGTCTTTGTTGTTCACAAATGATTATCGTCTGTATATAGTTAAATAATCATCTGTATTGTCATCGATGGAGACACAGGTGGTGGGTCTGTAGCACGGTCCTTACACGTAATTATTATGATATAAAGCAATCTTGCTTAAACTCGTTTACGATCCGGGAAATAAGGAAAGGAAGAAAATGGCAGAGAACAAACCTGTGGAACAGCCAACCTTTCAAGGTTTGCTGCATATGGCATAGGAACATCAGCTCCTGCTATCCTTTCAACAGGTGCATCAAGGTATCCAAAGCTTTCCTCCACAACCGTTGCACTGGCATTGGATAAAAGAACTTTCCAGTCAGGAATGATGAAAAGAAAAAAAAAGAACAGGAAATGCATATGATGCTTTTGAAGAAAGACTTCAATTTTCTGTTTGGGAAAAAGACTAAAGTAGGAGTAAAACATAAAAAATATACCAAAATAGGAGTTAAAATGCATATACAATGCCAATCATGTCAATATATAATAACAAAAAATATTGTGAAATGTTCATGTGCCACATTATCACACTGCAAGCTCCTATTTTGGGTTTAAAACATGGAGTTCCTATTTTGGTATATCTTCTATGTTTTATTTCTATTTAGGGTGATTTCATTTTCTGTTTCTATGGTCATTTTTTTGGGTATGATGGGACGTGGGAAGGTGTTAATATGAACAGAGATTATTATTATAAAAATGTTGTAACCAGATTTCAGCGCCGACGCCGTGTTGGGGGAACCCTTCTTCAACAGTGACAAGTCGGTTAGTTTTCCTAACAGAAGAGTTGATGGTGGATCTATCAAGAGGTCTGATTGAACGTAGGTTTATAACCTCAGCACTGATTCCTTCCTTGGAAAGAATCTCAGCAGCCTGGAAAGTTAAATTGAGTTAAAACACACATGGAATTGTAGTAAAATCATCATCAAGAACACCTTAACTCCAACTATGTGACCGGGGATTGGTGGCATAAAAGTTTAATGTAAAGCTGCAAATTAACTGAATTAGCTGAAAAATCAGGTAGAAGATTTGTGAGACATCTAACACAAGGCACCATTATTTGCTTCAAATTGGTTTTTAAAATGGGAAGCAGGAACTTCATCAGCAGTCAGCCCACATTCAGGCTCAAGGACAAAACTCTAGACACATAAAATCCTAAAGAGCACATTGATAGAAGAATCTACAGAATGAGAATGATGAATATATTGCAGGCCTCACTCAATTAGGAGTAGATATTCCATCATAAATGACTTCAAACCTTTCATGATGAGAGAATCACACACCTTTAAAGCATAGCCAACCATTTTTGAGAAAGCGGTGATTGTCACATCTTTACCTTCACGTTCAATCTGCCAATATATTAATGTTAACATAAGGAACCAATACTGAATATTTATATAAAATAAAGTTTGATTCGGCATTCCACGGAGTAGCTTACTTTAGCTTTCCCAATTGGAAGGCAGAAACTTGAATCAAGAACTTCATCTGAAACGGGGAAGGACTCACCATATCTGGAGCACAAATTATATCATCAATATTAGATAAAGATAAATGAAAAGAACCCCCCAAAAAATACATGATGATAATAAAGTACTTTGTAGTATACTAGCATGAAGAAATTCATTTTTATGATCTGTTACATACAGCAATTCATTTTCAAGAAAAACGACAGGGTCAGGATCCCTAATAGCGGCTTTAAGGAGGCCACGGGCATCTTCTGAAGAGTATGGAGTTAGCACCTTAAGCCCTGGAACTGAAGCATACCATGCCGCATAACACTGCAAAATATCCCAAACAGTGATAAACATGCTGTAAAACAGTGAGGCATTAAGTTCCCTCAAAGGGAAAATATGCAACTGATGCTTTTAAAAAAGTAAGGTGATTCTAGGAATTGCAACAATAAGGGGGAAAACATTTTTAAAAGAAAAAAGAACTGGCCTTCTCTTTTATCACAATTACTGAAAATCTATGTATACATCTGATATGTGCTGGAAAACCTTGTTGAATAATGAACTGCTTTTTGTAATAACAAGTATGGAGTAATAAACTCTTACCTTTACTGAGATGACTAATAACTTCATAATTTCTGAACTCTACTACAATGCTTATATAGAGAAATGGTGGCCTACACCCAATCAGAATAAGGAACCTAAACCCTAAACCTAGTGAGAATAGGAAATTACGACACCATAATACTCCTAAAATTAGGGAAACTATATTTCTATACTCCAATTAACCACAAGGAGTCCAAACTTATCAGAAAGCTTAATTAGTCACTTTTAATATTATTAGATGATTATCTATTTAGTTATTGCACTAGTGTCTATATACTTTTATTATTGTATTAATAAGGACAAAGTAGTATTTAATTTGGACAGGTATAAATATACTCTACTTATTATTCACAATCAGGTAGTTTCAATTAAATCAATTTTGACTTTATGTCAAAGACGAGACAAGGCTCATCATGCGTGCTCTGTCAGGAGCCAAGACTAGTCTGCCACGCTCATAACATCAAATACTTGTTCAACACAAACTTAAAATCTAAACTAAGAAATATATCAGACGGAAATATATCAGACGGAAACAATTTCTGAATTTCATTAAACTAAGAAATATATCAGACTAATCATGGAGGAAAGTTCTCCATTTTCTACCATCTCTGTAGTTACTAATTTTCATTCTCAAATTGGAGAACCAAAATTGCAGGAATTGTTATTGATGGAAGCACACCAAAAATAGCAGATTTAACCAGATACAAATGATCTCTGATGAGTAATGAAAGTTACTGTTGGTTGTTCATCCATCTTTAAACCGGAAAATGCAAAGTTTACACCCACCCCTCCAGATCCAGAACAAATTCAGATATTGAACTTTTTGATGTAGTTTAAAAACATGTTGGAACTTGCAACATGTAAGTTACTTATGACCTCAAGTTCCTTCTATCTCTGACTTCAGTATGTAAATCAGTGCTACACTCCCTCACAGGCACTGGGAATGTCACTAACTAATCATTGGTCATAAACCCAATCGTCTACCTCTTTACAGTTCACCCAAAATCTAATCAGCCAATTAAAATCAAGTTTCTAAACTTCTAGTCAATAAGTTAAAGAATTAACTTGAGTTGCATTAACAATAAACATTAAAATGTACAAGATGTGGAAGGAGTTCAATGGTCCAAACTGTAGAAAC